GCTAGGTTAGTTTTGCCCCTGTTTCCAGTCATTATGTTAAATAAATGCATATAAGTGACACCTGTCTTCACATGTAACTGTGGACTTACTTTACTAATACTCTCCATACTTAATTTATGTACAGCTATAAAATTTTAATCGCCACCTTCGAAAATTATTTAGCTGAGAGGTAACATTTAGCAGCTCCTGGTTACTAGAGAACACAAACTGGCAAAGAGTAAAGAGAAAATGTGCGGCTGATACTATACTCACACTTCTGTTATGTTTCGTTCATCGTTTAACAGATCTATAAGGTTCTGTTTTATGTTTTTGTCTTCGTTTTTAAGAAATCTTGTTACTTTTCCAGATGTTGTTTCTGCCTTGGCTCCCAGGCTGGTGTTTCTAAAGGAGAAAAAAAACATACTTAAATTATGCTTAAGGAATTTGTATCTTTACATTTAAAATTAAAATGTTGTTTGATGCGAAGCAAGGTAATTGGGGTTATTATGAAAAAGCAGATTTGCAACAAAGCTGGTAGACTGAGGAGAAGTCTTGTGAATGAGGGACAATTTAACTAGCACTTGCTGATGTCTGTGGGTCAAAAACTTTGACAACGAGGTATGATGAATGTGTATGTATGGCTGAGTGACTCCAGTGTCAGGAGTGGCTTGGCCCTCCCTATATAATAGGCTGACATTGTCATATGTTATTCAAAACAAGCCCACTTCTTCCCCACTTCCATAGCAAGGAGGGTGGTCCCCGGTTCTCTTGAGTAGCATGAGCATAACCTTATGTTCTCTTTCACAGCATTTATTTCATCTCTCACTGTGGGAGAAATACTGACTCCCTGATTCCGAGACATGCCTGTTAAGAAGACAACTGTCCCCCAATAACATTTCACAGAGGAGACGCTCCCTCCTGGGAAGAACCTACACTGAGGGCTGAATGCACCAGGTTAAGTGCTGTCACATCTAGCTTGTAAAACAGATGTGCAGATGTGTGAGGTGAGGGCCAGCATCCAGCTGAACACACCTCCTGGATGGAAATTGATTTAAAAAGAGCCCATGAGGTTGTAGTGGGGACCCCTAACGTGCCCCAGGCCAGCAGAAAGCTGAAGACCCCTGTTAGTATAGGCCAAGGCAATTGCTCCTACTATCCAGTGGGAGAGGCACAGTTTGTGCTTTAGCCCAGCACACAAAAAGCTGGTCACTCTGTCTAAAACCCAGGGTTCTGTCCATATAAACAGACAGAGCATAGACTGGACACAAGGTTGCTCCTCTGAGGTGAAAGGCGTCAGATAAAAGCCCGGCAGTTCTACAGGGGAACATGTGCTCTGAAGGCTGGCCTTTCCCTTAGAGATAGGGTGAGGACTGTAGTATTTTGGAAGGGACTCCGAGTAGAGCAGCTACTCTTCCACATTGATAGGCGCCAGTTGAGGTGATTATTGCACTTTTGCCAGAATGTCATTGATCTTACGTCTTTGGTCATACACTACTTGTAATGTGATGTCGATGCTCTTTAATAATTATCTTTTTTGTTTCATGATGATAAAATAAATAACTTAAATTTTATTACTTATTAATTAACCCTTTACTAACAGTTATTATAAAGTTTTACCTATCTGGAAACACATTTGTCTCTGCGTACCTTTGCACAGACCAGGACACAGTGATGGAGAAATCATCGGTAGAGTCCAACATCTCTATCAAGCTAGCTCTGCTGGGCGGACTGATGGTCCAAAGAGAGTTGGAGCTGCCTTTCAATTGAGCAATGGTAAGGTCCTCATAAATGTAGCTCTCCAGCCACTGCATGGCGTTCTAATCCAAACACAAAATCAAACAATTGGAATCAATATAATTCAGTCGCACTAAACCAATAATCTGTCAGCTAAGCAAGTTTAAATTAAGGTCAACATGCACACATGCACAAATGGACTGTTGATTGTTAAAACTGTTTCAGATTCAACTATAATTCAACTATCTAACTATAATCTTCCACTGAATATTAGTACATATCTTTTTGTCCCCTTCAGGAAAAAGTTATCCCCTGATTTAAGGGTATGGATGGATCTTGCTAACCAAATTTGCTAGCCTTGACCTTCTCATCTTAAGCTGAGACATGAAGTCAATACGTAAAATAAGCTTCCAAAACCAGTTGATGACATCATCGTTGTTACGTTGATCCTTTTTATTGTCTATGGTACTTTAGTAGAGAAAGAACTACTTGCATTATATGGGAACTACTTTACATCAGAGAAAAAAAAAAAAAGTATTTATTTCTCAAATTAAAAACACATTATGGTTTGTAAATCATGATCTTCTATTTGTATTTGATTTCGTATACTTACATCTTTCTTCTTATAATGTTCTACAAAGTTGCGAAATTCCTTTTCCGTCACATGCCGCAGTTGCTTTTGCTGCGCGCTCATGGTGAAGATGGGCTGTGGAAAGACAACGTTTTGAAAAAAGTCTAGTTAAAGGTGAATACACCTCTAATGATTTTAAACCAAGCACTTGTTTCTGGTGAACTTTATTCATACAGATTAATGTGCAGTAACTGTCGTGAAACTATGCCTGATACACACACATACAAACACACTACATTAAATCCTCCACCCTAAATACACTAAAATATCTCCCTCAGTCCACAGGTACCACATAACCATAAATGTTACCTCTAGACATTTGACAAAGGACCTGTGAAAAGAGGTGCCAAGGATTTTATATAAGAAATTGTGTCCACACCTGAAAGCCTGCCAGTGTGATTTCAAATGAGACATCCAGCGGAGTGTTGACGACTCCAGCTACAGATTTCACGAGGGACATGAAGAGCAGCGGAAACCATACTATACAGATCAGCAGCACCACAATCATTCCTCCCATCCCATACTTCACCACTTTCTTCTTCTTCTGGCCTCGTGGCTGGGGATACCTCTGCAGAAGGATGACAGAGAGGACACTGAAATAAGTTACTGGTATTAGATGGAGAACGTAACACAGAATTCCCCCTGATCCTTTGCTTTAACAACAAAGTCAACGCAATTTTTTTGACAAATTTGTAAAAGTAAAAATGTGCAAAAAATTTCATGGAGGGATATATTTCAGACTGACTGGGTAACAACTACGAGAGAGCAGTGAATAAAGATATTTTCACTTCACTTACTGATAGACACAGTATCTATCTAT